TGCCCAAGCTGAGCTTGGACTTTCAGCCTCCAGAACTTCCAGGCAATCAGTTTCAGTTGTTAAGACCCCCAGAGTGTGGAGCTTTGTTATGGCCTTCCTGGAAGATGAACCCAGATGCTAAAAGGGCTGAGGAGTGGAAAACTGACTTCTGTGGTTAGTTTACCTTGAACACCAATCATGAGGCCCCTTCCAGCCTCTGTTCCACAGACGTCGATTCTGTTTTATTGTTTGAACCAAGAGTAGTACTCCACAACTGTAAACACAGTCCACAAGTTTTCTACTCCAGACCATCTCTTTAGCAGACAGAAGGAAATATCTGTTTTCCTTCGCCAAATCCTAACCCTACTTTGTTCTCAATAGAAATTATATTGTGTCTAAGTCTCCCAAAATGTCTCAAAAGCAAGACAAACACCCACTTCCTCTTTTGGAAACTGATGGGACCCTCTACAAATTACATTTGGAGACATCACTCTTTCCCAGCCAACTTAGAAACTCAAACTCTTGTCAACTTTCCTGGTATCCCAACTTGCTCTCAAGAGAAAACTAAAAACCCATTCACATGAATAAAGTATAAATGACAGCCAAGAGCTTAAAGCGCTAGCTGTCCTAGGTGGGGAAGAAGGTCACCAAGAATGTCGGTAAAGAGGCACATGTCAGGGGTGGGAGCCCACTTTGCCTTACACCCTGACATGGTATGTAATCCTCAATGTAAAACTCTCCCACTGGGTGGGAATTCCTCTTGGCCCATCAATGCCAGCCCCCCTGTGGCTTTGCATCAGTTTCCACTTCCTCATGGCAGCGTGGAATGCTATTCCTGTCTCTCCAATGTCCTCACACCACAGTGACTCCAACATCCTCTAGGACCAGGGAAGTCCGTGCAGAACCTGCCACCATCCCTGACACCCTGAAAGCCCCTTCTAAGTGACAGAAGCTTAAAGTGTAGCTTAAAGAAGGAGCTTTGGATGTGGTGGTACCTAGGGCTAAATTCTGCAGTACTCAGGTGGACCGTAAAATATGGCCGTATTATTAGACTTGATGCGTGAATGCCACTCTCCTTTTCTTTGATTGTCCTGTACCTGAAATCTACCTGCTCTAGAATTGCCTCCCGGATGATGTCTCTTTTAGCCTTACTCTTCCCCCAGAGTCTCCCATCATTTATACAAGTCCTGGGTTATTGTTCCTCCACCCAGCATTACTTAATACATCAATTAATTAGAATATAGGCTTTTCACAGAGAGAATCATACGTTTATCCATTTCCCCTTCCCAGACTTTGGTGACTTACATGTAGAAGTTACTCAGTAAATATCTGTTGAAGGTTAATTCAACTGAATTTCTTGTGTTCATCTCCTCTTGTTACCTGTTTTGGTCCCCAAATCCTTCCCACTTCAGACATTTGGTCAGCCCATCAACAGAGGTTGTCTCCTAACATACACCAAATCTAGAATGTTATACGGAGCTGAGTTCCTATTAATTCAATGACAAAAGATGTCACAGACCTTCAGAGTTGGAAGATTCTTTAGAAAGTATTTCATCCATTTCTTTAATAAGAGGCCATGTTACTCATCCAAGGCCACACAGCTGGGGAAGCAGCAGCAGGGCCTGGCAGGAAGATGTTCTGGTGGAAGTGAGGCCATTCATCATGTCTAAGAAGATGTCATCTGAGTGGCCAGTGTCGGGTGAGGGGCCAACTCATACACTCATTGCAAGGTTCCCTCTATTGGCCCCTGAGCATTTCTGTTTAACCTGAACACCCCTCTGCATAAGTCCAGGTACCTCTATCTGATCTTCTCCGCAGGTTATCCTCATGGGCAACTGGATGAGGAGCTCACCCCCAATACAACCAGGCTGCAAGTACCCCTGCTCCCACCGCTGGGTGGCAGAGACACAGCCTCCTGCCCTATCTCGTAAATCCATGGATGTGACCCATGGGAGTGACTTCCATTTAAAGTTTTGGGCAAATCTCAGAGATTGTTATTTCCAACCACTGGGGAAGCTTAAAGCCAAACAGTCCTACTGGCATAGAAGTAAGCCTCATTGTTTTCTATCTGAACACATGTTTTACATCAAGAGAAGGGCTGTGGTTGGGGCAGGGAGAGCTGAAGGGAGATTCAAAGGTTCTTCAGCTCTCACAGATCTCAACCTCTTCAAAGTTTCAACCCTCAGAGCACTTAAGATGTTTCATCCCACTCAGCAGAAGTGCCTCTGCCCACACTCTCGGGTGCCACAGTGCGTGCATGGGAACTCAGCTGTGGTCCAGAGCCAGTAAAGGAAACGGGACAGTCACCTCACTGTATTTTTCCAAGAGGATGTAATTTCTCCTTTGGGATTTGATAAGCTTCCTAAGGCATATTCACATGCACAGAGCAGGTGAGACCTGCTTGTTAATGAGGCCACATCAAGTCTCCCAGGGTGATGGGTATGAATGAACTCATGCTTGAAGGAATGGGCAACTCCTACCTGGGACCTTGAGCAAGTGGGTGTGGGTCAGAGCCCAGAGTCAGGGTGGATAGGCAATTGGAAAGAGAGAGAAGGTTTGCTTTTAGTGGTAACCACTTTCTAGCCTCAGCATTCTCGACTGCAGACTGGAGATAACAATAATGTCCTTCCCTGATATTTGGGGGGTTGACCAAATGAAATTTCTTGTAAAAGTGCTGGGCACAGGGCATCAATTCTGTGCCCAGGAAGGGATTCCAGTGCCATTGCCAGCTCCTGATTGCCTTCTTTTGAGATGATGTACTTTCTTCAAGGCAAAGGAGCAACAAGAGGGTACCTGCAGCCTATAGGACAACATAAGTCAAATTCTGGAGTAAAAGCATGGCACTTAGATTGTGTGCCAAGTCATTTGTGATCAGAGGGAAACTGAAAAGTGGCATAACAGGGTGATGGGCGGGCCCAGGAGAATTCACTATGAGTCTTGGGGGCACTGCTAGCACCTCTGCTACCTCCTGGGCGGGTCATTTCACCTCCCTGACCCAACTGTGAATTCAAGAATACCACACCCATCTCTGCACTGTGGCCTGCAGAATAATGCAAGGGAAGAGAGCTGGAAACGACAACCTACTGGTCACATGTGTGATATTATTTGATGTGGTTTGGCTCTGTGTCCCCCCTCAAATCTCTTGTTGAATTACAATTCCCAGTGTTGGAGGAGAGGCCTGGTGGGAGGTGAGTGAATCACGGGGGCGGACTTCCCCCTTGCTGTTCTCATGATAGAGTTCACGAGATCTGGCTGTTTGAAAGTGTGTAGCACTTCCCCCTTATCTCTCTCTCTCCGGCGTGAAGATGTGTTAGCTTCCCCTTCGTCTTCCGCCATGATTGCAAGTTTCCTGAGATCTCCCAGCTATACGTCCTGTACAGCCTGTGGAACTGCAAGTCAATCAAACCTCTTTTCTCCATCAATTACCCAGTTGCAGGTAGTTCTTTATCACAGTGTGAGAATGGACTAATACATTATTGTTACTGTTAAAGGGAAAGAGAAGGGGCCAGGAGGAAGAGGAGGAAGGAAAAGAGGGGAGAAATGAGGAAAGAGAGGGAAAGGAGAAAGAGGGAGCAGAGAGAAGGGGGATTGCTTTAAAAAAAAATAAACTTTTTATTTTAGAATAGGTTTAAATTTCTAGAAAAGTTGAGAATAGTCCAGAGAGTTTCCCTAGACATCATACCCAGTTTCTCTTGTTGTTACTATCTTACATTAATGAGGTACTTTTATCACAATTAATGGCCAATGTTGATACATATTAACTAAAGTCACCCTTCATTCAGATTTCCTTAGTTGACCCAGTGTCCTTCTTCCACCACAGAACACCATGTTACACTGAGTAGTTGCTTCTCTTGGCTGTGACAATTTCTTAGACTTTCCTTGTTTTTGATGACCTTGACAGTTTTGAGGAACACTAGTCAGGTATTTTGTAGAATGTCCCAACATTGGGATTTGCCTGGTGTTTTCTTCTATTGGGAGAAGACCACAGAAGTAAAGTGCCACTTTCATCACATTCTATCAGGAACATATACTATCAACATGACGTCACGCTTCATGTTGACCATGATCGTCTGACTGAGGCAGTGTTTGTTGGACGTCTCCACTGTGAAGTTTCTCCCCCTGCCGCCTCTCCACACTGTACGCTTGGAAAGGAAGTCACTGTGTGCAGCCCATACTTAAGGCGGGGGGAATTATGCTCCACCTCCTTGGGGGTGGAGTATTACATAAATGACCTGAAGTTCCACCGCACTGTGGAGATGTGCCTATTCTCTGCCATTTACTTATTCATATGTATATGATTAAATAGATATATAAATGTAAATCAGTATGGAGTCACGCAGATTTATTTTCTACTTAGGTTATTTATAAACCAATACTACTTTGTTGCTCAAATTGTTCCAGCTTTGGCCATTGAAAGCTTTTTCTTTTTTTTTTTTTTTTTTTGAGACGGAGTCTCGCTCTGTCGCCCAGGCTGGAGTGCAGTGGCCGGATCTCAGCTCATTGCAAGCTCCGCCTCCCGGGTTTACGCCATTCTCCTGCCTCAGCCTCCCGAGTAGCTGGGACTACAGGCGCCCGCCACCTCGCCTGGCTAGTTTTTTGTATTTTTTAGTAGAGACGGGGTTTCACCGTGTTAGCCAGGATGGTCTGGATCTCCTGACCTCGTGATCCGCCCGTCTCGGCCTCCCAAAGTGCTGGGATTACAGGCTTGAGCCACCGCGCCCGGCCGAAAGCTTTTTCAAGTGGTTACTGTGTCCCCTTGACCTGTGCGTTACTGTTTGTTCTTCTGAGCACGTTCTCACTTTCTGGCCCTGTGAAATGCTCCTCCAGGCTCATCTTGTACATTCCCCGCCTGTCCTAGAATCAACCCTTTCTCCAGGAAGGCTGAGTTCCTTTTATTAAATGGTGTCAAGAACAGCGGAGGCAGTGGCAGCAGCGTTGTGACGTCAGGGCGTTGGGGCAGCTCCTGTGACAGACGGAGCTGGAGCGGTGGGGCGGTGGCAGAGTCTGGCGCCCGGGAGAGTGGAATGAATCTTACTTGTTGAATACCTTCTGGTTACTAGTTGGATTCATTTGTAAAAGAATCATTTTCCCCTGTGTGGAAGACACTTAGTGGCATATTTAAATTATAAGTCCACGGATCAAAAAGCTTTTTGATTTCCCAAAGGAGGGACATACCACTATATCAGATAAGCTTGACATGACAGCCAAGATGGTGCTGTCCCAGAGACAACGAGATGAACTCAATCGAGCTATAGCAGATTATCTTCGTCCAAATGGCTATGAAGAGGCATATTCAGTTTTTAAAAAGGAAGCTGAATTAGATATGAATGAAGAATTAAAGTAGGCTGGAGTTTTGGGAAAAAAATGGACATCTGTTATTAGATAACGAAAGAAGGTTATGGAATTAGAATCAAAGTTAAATTAAGCAAAAGAAGGATTTATGTCAGGTGGACCTCTTGGTCAGCAACAAGACCCAAAAGAATGGGTATTTTCTGCCAGAAAAATATGCATTGAGTGGTGACAGGAGTCCAGTCACTGGAGTCACTTTCCATCCTGTGTTCGATGTTATGGTCTCTGCTTCAGAGGATGCTACAATTAACGTGTGGGATTATGAGACTGGAGATTTTGAACGAACTCTTGAAGGACATACGGACTCTGTACGGGATATTTCATTCGACCACAGTGGCAAGCTTCTGGCTTCCTGTTCTGCAGCTATGACCATTAAACTCTGGGATTTTCGGGACTTTGAATGCATCAGAACCATGCACAGCCAAGACCACAATGTTTCCTCAGTAGCCATCATGGCCAGGGGAGATCATACAGTGTCTGCCTCAAGGGATGAAGCTATAAAAATGTGGGAAGGGCAAACTGGCTACCGTGTGAAGACGTTCACAGGACACAGAGAATGGGTACGTATGGTACAACCAAATCAAGATGGCACTCTGATAGGCAGCTGTTCCAATGAGCAGACTGTGTGTGTGGGTCATAGCAACAAAGCAATGCAAGGCTGAGCTCCGAGAACATGAGCATGTGGTAGAATGCATTTCCTGGGCTCCAGAAAGCTCATATTCTTCCATCTCTGAAGCAGCAGCCTCTGAGACTAAAAGAAAAAGTGGCAAACCTGGGCCATTCTTGCTCTCTGGATCCAGAGACAAGACTATGAAGACATGGGATTCAGTACTGGCATGTGCCTTATGACCCTCGTGGTTCATGATAACTGGGTACGTCGAGTTCTGTTCAATTCCAGGGGAAAGTTTATTTTGAGTTGTGCTGATGACAAGACCCTACGCCCATGGGATCACAAGAACAAGCAATGCATGAAGACCCTCAGTACGCATGAACACTTTGTTACCTCCTTGGATTTCCAGAAGACAGCACCCTATGTGGTCACTGGCCGCGTAGATCAAACAGTAAAAGCGTGGGAGTGCCATTGATGGCATCTCCTTCGGCCCCTCCTCCCTCTTTTCCTCTGGATGCACTCTGATGATACCATGGTTACCCCATTGAGCGCTGTTGAAATAAATATTGTTCTTTCATGTAAATTATTCTGGATGTAGACTGAGCTTATTAAATGTTACACACAAAGTAAAAAAAAAAAAAAAAAAAAAAAAAAGAACAGCATTAAAAACTAAGACGTAAATACTAGGTGTGCTCATTGCTACTGGGATGACACTTCTTCAGGCCCTGTCAGGAGACAGAACAAGGAAATATATACCAACCCATATCTGTAAGTATATTGTACATATCCATCTGCATCTATTTTGAGCTGAACTCGATTCCACGTTGATGTCCCCAACACTAACCACTGTCATATGAATCACTGCAGCCTTCCCTGCTTGCTTGTCTGTAGCATCCCCTCCAACAAGGAGAAACCTGGCTCCCACCATCCTCCATCCAGTGACTTCACATTTCAGAGTGTGTGACTAGTGGCTTCAGAACTTATATCCTTTTGGGAAAGAGCTTTATCTACTAGAATACAGGGTTGTGAACAGTTCCTTATGTTTTTAGTCTTACAGTCTCCACTCACTTCCAATGCCACTTGGTCAGCACGTTTTCCTCCCACCCCTTCAGTGGAATTATTTTATACATTTGTAATACAGATAGTCTTCTGTCATATTCATCATCCCATCTTGGAATCCCCCAACATCTTTAATTATTTTTTTAAATTTGCGTATGTTCAGGTTCACTCTTTGTGATGTAAAATTCCATGGGTTTTGAAAAATGCAGTGTCGTGTATTCACCACCATAGTATCATACACAATAGTTTTACCATTCTAAAAAAAATCTCATGTGCTTTCCCGACTCTACTCTTCCCTCTCTCCAGGCCCCTGGAAACCACTGATTCAATTACCATCTCTATAGTTCTACCTTTTCTAGAACATAATATAAATGGATAAGCTTTTTTCAGTAAACAATATGCATTTAAATTTTATCTATGTTTTTACATAGCCTGATAGTTCATTTATTTATATCTCCGAATAGTATTCCTTTATATGCATGTACTACAGTTTATATAATCTATTCACCTACTGAAAGACATCCTGGTTTTCCAGATTTTGGCAATTATGAATAATGTTGTTACACACATTTGCATGCAAGTATTTTGTGGATTTAGTTTTCAACCAGTTGGGTAAACATCTAGGAGTATGCTTGCTGATTCATACAGTAAAATAATGTTTACCTTTTTAAGAAACTTCCAAACATCTTTTAAAGTAGGTGTACTATTTTGCCTTCCCACCAGAAATGAATGTGGGTTCTTATTCCTCTAAATTCTTACAGCAATTGGTATTGTTGGTTTTTTTGTATACTAGCCATTCTAATAGGTGTGTGGTGAAAGCTCACTGTTGTATTCATTTGCATTTCTTTAATGACAGATGATGTTTTACATGCTTATTTACCATTTGTAAGGTGTATATATATATACACACACACATATATGTACAAATGTGTATGTCATATGTATACACACACACACAAATATCATCTTTGGTGGTGATTTGGAGGTGTCTGTTCAGATTTATTCATTTTTTTCAATTAGATTACTTATTCTCTTTTTGTTGACTTAATTTTAAGATTTCTTAAAATATTTTGGATACAAGTTTCTTATCAGGTTCATGTTTTGCAAATATTTCTTCTCAGTCTGCGGCTTGTGTTTTCATTATCTTAACAGAATCTTTCATAGAGTGGAAGTTTTTAATTTTAATAAAGTCCAATTTCTCTATTTTTTTTCTTTCATGGTTCATGCTTTTGGTAGTGTATCTAAAAATTTCTCACCAAACCCAAGGTCACATAGATTTTCTTCTTACGTTTTCTTCTATAAGTTTTATAAATGTGCATTTTAAATTCAGGTTTATGATCCATTTTGAGTTAGCTTTTGTGTAAGTTGCAAGTTCTGTGTCCAGATTCATTTAGCCTATGAACATCCAATTGTTCCAGCACCACGTGATGAAAAGACTTCACTTTCTCCATGGAGCTGCCTTTGCACCTCTGTCAAAAGTGAGTTTATTACATTGTGTGGGTGGGTCTATTTCTGGCCTCTCCAGTTGTTGATTTATATGTCCTTTTTTTTTTTTTTTGCCAATACCACACCGTCTTGATTATTATAGCTTTATAGTAATTCTTGAAATGAAGGACTCTGAGTACTCCAACATTGATCATCTTCTTCAGTATTGTGTTAGCTGTTCTAGGCCTTCTGCTTGTTTATATGAATTTTAGAATCAGTTTATCAATATCTAAAAAATAACCTGCTGGGATTTTGAATTGGATTGCTCTGATTAAGTTAGAAATACTTCACATCTTAACAGTACCAAGTCTTCCAATCGATAAGCAGGGACTGTCTTGCCGTTTATTTAGATTATTTTATTTTGCCACTATTGTCTAGCTTTTTGCATACAGTTTCCATACAGATTGTGTCAAATTTATAACTAAATACTGATTTGGGGGGATGCTATTGTAAATGGTAATGTAATTTTCATTTCAAATTCTGATTATTCATTGTATATAGAAAAGCAATTGACTTTGGTATATTTTCTTTGTATGCTGTGTCCTTGTTATACTCACCTTTTCCAATGAGGTTTTCACCTTTGTGTGTGTGTGTAGATTATTTGGTATTTCCTACATAGACAATGTATCTACTAATAAAGACCATTTTTATTTCTTTTTGTCCAGTCTGCATATCTTTCTTTTAATTCTTTTTCTTATTGCTGTATGAATTCCAGTATGATGTTCAATAGGAGTGGTGAGAGAGGACATCCTTGCCTTATTCCTGATTTTAGGGGGAAAGCGCCCAGCCTCTCACCAGTAAGTATGATGTTTAGTGCAGGCTTTTTGTACACGTTCTTTATCAAGTTGAAGAAATCCCCTCTGTTTCTAGTTTGCTGAGAGATTTTATTGTAGATAGGTATTGATTTGTTTCAAATACTTCCTCTGTATCAGTTGATATAGTCATGTGATTTATCTTCTTTAGCCTATTGATGTGGTAAATTACATTGATTTTTGAATGTCAAACCAGCTTTGTATACATGGAATAAATCTCGCTTGTTTATGGTATATAACATTACTAAATATGATTCAATAATATTTTTTAAAGTTTTTTTGTGTCTATGATTATGAGAGATACTGGTCTGTAGTCGTTCCTTTCTTAAAATGTCTTTACCAGGTTTTAGTGTTAAGGTAATATACTGTGCTATGGTCTGAATGTTTGTGTTCCCCCAAATTCATATGTTGGAATTCTAACTTCCAAGGTGATTGTATTAAGAAGTGGGGCCTTTGGGAAGTACTTAGATCATGAGGGTGGAGCCCTTATGAATCGGTGATCCCTTATAGAAGAGAACTAAGTACCCTTATAGAAGAGGCCTAAGAGAGACTCCTCATCCCCTCCACCATGTGAGGACACAGCTAGAAGAAACCATTTATGAAGCAGAGAGTGGTCCCTCACTGGACACCGAACCTGCCGGAGCCTTGCTCATGGACTTTCCAGCCTTCAGAATTGTGAACGATAAATTTCTATTGATTATGAAATTTCACCACCCAGTTTGTGTGGTGTTTTGTTACAGCAGCCTAAATAGACTAAGATAACTGACCTCATAGAATGAGTTTGGAACCATTGCCTCTGCCTCTGTTTTTTGGAAGATATTGTGGAGAATTGTTATTATTTCCTCTTTAAGTGTTCTGTTGAATGTACTAGTGAAACTATCTGGGCGTAGTGCTCTCTTTTCTGGAAGGTTTTAAATTATTCAATCTCTTTGAATATAAGACTACTCTCCTTTGGGGAGTTTTGATAGTTTGTGTCTTTGAAGGAATTGTTTCACTTCACCTTAGTTATATTTATGAGCATGAAGTTGTTTGTTGTATTACTTAATTAACCTTTTGATGTCTATGGGATCAGTTGTGATGCCCTCTCTTTTGTTTCTAATGTTAATAATGTGTGTCTTTTCTCTCTTCATTGGCCTGACTAAATGTTTATCAATTTTATTGATCTTTTCCAAGAACCAGCTTTTGTTTTATTGATTTTTCTCTGTTGTTTTCTTGTTTACAATGTTATTAATTTCTGTTCTAATTTTTATTACTTATCTTATTTTCCTTGCTTTAGGCTTAAATTAAATTAGGCTTCTTTCTTTAGTTTCTTAAGATGAAAACCTGAATGATTGACCGTATATCTTTTTTTCTAATAAATATATGTGTTTAACATTATAAATTCCCATTGTTCTGTTTTATGTCACTATAGGTGACATTATAGTTTGCATTTTTAAAAATTCTATGTTAGTGAAATCTTGCTGCTTGTATGTTTTTTCCTCTGCTTTCTTTCACTCAGCAAAATTGTTCTCACATTCATCTGTATCCTTGCATGTATCAATAGTCTTTCTTTTCCTTCTTTTTTAAATAGAGTCTCACTCTGTCACCCAATCTGGAGTGCAGTGATGTAATCACAGCTCACTGCCACCTGGACCTCCTGTGCCCAAGCAATCCTTCCACCTCAGCCTCCTGAGTAGCTGGGACTACAGATGTGCACCTCCACACTCTGCCAATTTTTCTTTTTTTTTTTTTTTTTTTTGAGACATAGTCGCTCTGTCACCCAGGCTGGAGTGCAGTGGCATGATCTCAGCTCACTGCAACCTCCACCTCCTGGGTTCAAGCAATTCTCCTGCCTCAGCCTTCCCAGTAGCTGGGATTACAGGTGTGTGCCACCACGCCTGGCTAATTTTTTTGTATTTTTAGTAGAGACGGGGTTTCACCATGTTACCCAGACTGGTCTCAAATTCCTGAGTTCACGTGATCTGCCCCAACCTCCCAAAGTGCTGGGATTACAGGTGTGAGCCACTGCCCAGCTGTCTGCTTCTTCTTATTGTTTGATAGTACTCCATTATATGGATGTGCCTCAGTCCATTTATCTGTTGCTGTACCTTTTGGATCATTTTCAGTTTTAAGTGATTGA